AATATTAGGAATTTCCATTTAAGTCAAAATCTTGAATTTTTTCATTTATGGAAAAATATCTTTTATTTTTATTTTTATTATTTATTTTTCGAATTTTGCTAGGGCTTTACTATTTAAAGCATTGTAAGCCCTTTGAGGCATATCATTGAATTGAATAAGAATTTTCGTGAGTTTTATCTCATTTTTGTGAGATTGTTCATCTTTTCTATAATTTCCGCTACGTCAAAACTCCTTATTTATAATATAAATTAGGGCGAAACTAAAATATCAAGTGTGAGATTACGGCATGTTCATTGTACTAATTCAATGTAAAAATAAAATCTGCATGCGGAATTGTTCATATTTGACTTTTGAAAACTTATATTACAACTAATTTTTGACTCGATCAATCATTTTTCTTAAATGTCGACAAATGTGAACAATTGTCGGATTTCTAATACTATAGGAGGAGCCAGACGAAAAAATGCATTATTGAAAGGTATGGTTGAGAATTTGTCGCGGTCAAATTATTCGTTTTGATTTCTTGAAATTGAATTAATATTCGCAACGAGGAATTTGAATATTGCACGTGCCCAAATTAAATTCATAAACCTGCGAACAAAGATGGCAAAAGTTTTTTGTCTTACAATTTCTCTTGACGGGGGTCCACTTTGATTTCAATGTAAACTTTTAACTGGATCAATAAATTTTAAGAATTAAAAAATTTAGGAATATTTAATATAGATATTTTAAAATTATTTGAAAGCATTGTTGTATTCAATAGAAATATTTATAGACAAAAAAAAAAAATCATGATGTATTCAATTAATATTTTTTTAAAATCTCTATAAGCAATGTGGTATTTTAAGAAAAAATTACAAAAAATAAAAAATCCACGATTTATCTCTATAAATTATATGAACTCTAGAGCTATAATTAAAAAATTAATATTTTTCTTTCTCTTCTACCTACCTTTATTTTATTTTATTTTATTAAATAGTACTAAATTATTATATCCTTTTTGTAATTTAAATATTTATTTATAATTGAGGTTACATAAATTTTTTTATATTCTTTCAATTAATTTTATTACATGGGAAAAGGGGAGGGAAATGATCAAAGTTATAAAAGTCTTTAAATGAAAGTCTACGCAAGACTTTAGCGTAGACTTTCATTAATAACATGCAAATATACATAACTTAAAAGTCCATGAATTTCATAAAAGCACGTTACTTAAAAAAACACTATAAAAGTTCTAAAAATGTGCATTGAATACACTCCACTTAATTTCAAATTTCGTCACTCTTTCAAATTTTGTCATGTAGAATTTCCTAAATTGACGGAACTTTATTTGTTGACAATCATGCCATAAGTGATATTCTATTTGATCATTACTTGGCATTTTGTAAACAAAATAAGTTGCTTTTAGATTATAAGAACATGCATGTTTTCCTCTCATTTGAAAAACTTGTATGGAGTAGCTGTAAGTTAACATACAATACAATCATCACAAAGAATATCTATTTAACATACAACACAATCATCACAAATAATATCTATTGCAGTATGCATTTCATTTAAGAATAATTTCACCTAACAGAAAACAAGCATTTGAAGAATTTTGTGTCAAATCTGGGGTGACACATACGAAAACATTAATTAGTGACGTAGGGCACAGATGGAACTCAACTTACTTATTATTAAAATCATGCGAAGACTTTAAATATTTAATAACTAAATTTTATAACAATATGCATATTAGAAAATGATGACGATACTATTTTGAATGACTCCGATTGGATGTTAGCTTTTAAAATTAAAAAAATTGACAAGTTTTTATGATTCTACAAATATTTTGTCTGGAGTTTATTATCTCACTAGTTATATGGTCCTTGAACATTTTTATATAATTGCTAGAGTTTTTCATAGACATAAAAATGACCTCGATTTTAGTTCAATTATATATTCCATGGAATTAAAATTTAGAAAATATTGGAAAGACTTGCCTGTATTATTTCCTTTAGCATGTATCATGGACTTCCGATATAATTTAT